AGTCAACCCCTTCTCCCCATAGTGAACTGGGTAAAACTACTTGATTCATACCTTGCCTGTAAGATGCCATTGTTTTCTATGTATTTTCTTTCTCTCTTTCTACTTCTTCTTGCTTCATAGCCTTTATTTCAAGCAGAAAGTAAATTCAATAATATTTGAATTGATATGGAAGTTTTGTACTCCAGAAACCAAAAAACAGACAATATGCACTCACCTATTCCCATTCCCTCCAGTTTGCTGCTCTGTTTTGATTGTCTGTCCTGGTCCTTTGTCATCTTGATGACCTCCTTATATCCATATTGATTACTGTTTCAATTTTATCAGCACGAATCACACCTATTTATCACAGCAGTATCAGTGAAGAAATCAAAACACTGGGTCAAAAAGGCTGAGCTTTAACTCCACTGTCAGCAGGAGTCCTCTCACAGGAGATAGCAGAGAAGGTGATTACCAGTGGTGTGATTTTGGGGGCTCTGTTGCATGGCTGGGGTCCCCAGCATTTTCAGGTGCTATCTGGGCAAGGCTGCAGCTCCTGCTGAGTTTACTTCAGCAACTTACTTTGTGGAAGAGAAATATACAGGTGATCCTGGATTGATGGCTAACAGGGCCTGTGGGGCTGCAGCAGGCCTTTGTGCGGACTTCAGTACTACTCTGCCTTTGTGGATGAATTTACACTGGGATTTCTGTTATTGATCTCTATAATTTATCAAGGCTAAACATTTGGCTTAAGACATTCTAGTAATAAGAGAAGCCCCAATATTGTCCATTAGCTAAAATCTTGAATTAGATTGATACTTACACTATGGTGGCCAAACCGTAAATACACAGTGCTTTTAATATGGAAAGGTGGGTCTTTCAAAAAATGAAGCAATGCTTCCCCTCAGATGGTGAAGGAGTAATAGCCTAGTAAGTTTGTACAGAGTGGACAGACTGAAAACAGAGAGGATTTAAAATATTCTGAGCTTCTTCTGCAGGTATGAGAAAGCAGTGCCCAACTACTTTCTAAGTTTTTTTTTAATGTAGAAGCTGACAAACATTGCTTCTCCATAAAAACACTTAAAAGTCAGGTTTCAGCTGCTATAAGTTTAGTTTGAAATCCATGCTATGTAAAATGAGTAAATGCAGGTATTTTTACATCTGTCTTTTAATGTTTTAGGATTCAGGTTTTAGTTTTTATACAGCTGTCTGATTAGAACATTTTTTTTTTAATTAACAGAAGTAAATTTTGCATTGTATTCTTATTTGAGAATCTTGAATTTTTAGAAGATTTTCCATAGTATCAGCCTTATCATCATGTCTCAAGAGGACTGCTAATGTAGTCCTGGCTGTATTGCTCCCTTGAAAAAAATCAGTATGAAAGTACTAATAATCAGTAATGGTAATAGAATTTCAAGCATAGATATATGTGATGCAAGTTAGTGTTAATCAGCTTATCTAAGATTACCCTGGGAAGGCAATCCATTGCTAACTACCTGGGGTTCTGTGAGAGGACAGAATCCCAACAGGATTTTTTTTCCTTCTTTACAACAAAATGCACCATCACCGTCTCTGAGCTATCGGTCCACCAAATGCATATTCCACTGTATAGGCACTGCTGGAGGACACACATTCCACACCTCTGCATCATCCCATTTTTTTGCGTTCAGTTCCTACACTGCATCCTCACCTCTTTTGGCCTCCTTTCTGAGGGAGTCATATCACAGAATTCGTTTTTAGTCTGAGGAACCTTCCAAAAGGTCCTAATCAAAACTCCACTCTGTGACTTTCGTGTGCAAGGAGTCAAAAAGAGAAAATGTAGTTGAGGTAACCAGATCTCTGTTCCCCAATTCATTCTTTTCACGGGATAAAGGAAAGGGCTCTTGTAGGACAGCTGCCAACAGCTATTTCTCCTGGGACTTGCCTGGTGCAAGGGCCTCTCATAACAAAGGGGCTCTTGCTACTGCTCTGTGCAAAATCAGGAAGAATTTTGTCTGCATTAAAGTAGCTAAGCCAAGTCCCATCTTAGAACTTGAAGGAGGGCTACTCTTCAAATATTGCTATATTTCATTGCCCTTTTGTCATCAAATGGATCTATTATGGCAAAACTCTGGTTCTGGATATAGAAAATATTGCCTTTCCTAAATCTAATAGTGTTCCCTTAATGCATTAACAGATCTCAAGGCATGGTTTTGCAATAATACCACTTTCTTGCACAGCACACATTCTGTCCACATTAGTCATTGTAGTGGTACATTGTAAATGAGGTTGTAAAATCTAAAAAAAAGCCTTAAAATTTGACTCTTCCTTGAGGGTCCAGATAGCTGCAGTAAATTTCCAGCATCCAGACATGTTTCACTCTGATTTAGATACTTGTAGGCTCTGAACTGCAGAAAAATATTGTGGAAGATGAAGACTTCCATAATGCAGTTAAAATACTGGTGTAGATCGCATTGAAACTACATCATGTTACTGTATAATTTCAGAGTTATCATGTTATCGGGTTATTAAGCATGAGTCATCTTATCAGATCTTGCCAGTCTGAATGAAGAACTTACATAATCGCTAAAATGTGATTTAGAAAACAAGAACAGATTGTCAGCCAGGATCCTGCTGTCTGACTGAGCAGACAGGGTACTCTCCAGAAAACCAGGGACATAATGATGCATTTTCTGTGCGTTCTACAGCATGAGTCCCTCCCTCCCAAAGTACCACTTGCAACTTCTGTTGCAGCTGGCAAACTGAAGACACAGTACTTCTGAGTAACTGCACAAGCAATCTTGACCATGGCAGTCAGACTGTGGCAGACCTTATCTCATTTCCCTAAGGGGAAAGTGATGCTTCAGCCAAATTGAGCTTTCTGTCTTCCCAGGACACATTCCTGGTTATGTGGTGACTGAGCAGCTCCATGATACCACACAGGGTTTACACTGATGCAGCTTCTGACTGTTTCTGACTTTAGCTCTCCCTCCTTTCCCCTGTTCACTTTCCAGATTGTCTTCTTTGCCTTGCTATGAGTATGGTGTTCCTCCTCCTGTGTTTTGGTGTTTCTTGTGTGGCAGGGTACGTTGTAAGTACATATCTTTGAATATGACTCTTAGAAGAAATATGGATTCCTCAGTCTTTTAGAAGAAACATGGATTTCTTAGAAGAAACAGGGATTTTGACTCCCGATGAGAATAATCTTTAAAAGCTTTAAAGCAAATAATAAAGCATAACAAAAATTAAGTTTTAGATATTTGAAAGTTGTATGCTTGAAAAAGGTCTTCTCCAGTTTCCAAAGGACTTGCAAATTTGGGACCTTCTGCATTTATTATACTTCACAGAATGCACTGGTCATGCTAGGAGCTTTGTGTTGCAGGTGATGCTCTGAGATCTCTGCTTGCAGAGTGGGCTAGAATTCAATTATTGTAGCAGTTGTTCTCTGTGCATGCACTCTGTCTTGAGCTACTGCAAAAGCAAGCTTGAATTTTACATGATTTTTCTTCCTAATTATGTGCTTCTTCCTGTTCATCCATTCCCTCCATGCTTAATTTCAAAGATGTTGAAAAAATACCTAGAAATTTGTAAAGTTTATAGAAATTCCCATGCTGGCTCCATTCTTGACCCACCAAAGACTCACAGTGGGTGAGGTGGAAAAACCCAGGAGGAGCCTTGTGGGGAAAATCATAGGCAGTACTTGTCTATTTTATTTCCAGTCCAACCCTTGCCTGGTGAATAGGAGTGAGGGGACAGGGATATGCAAGCTGCAAAATCATTGAAACACAGCCTCCTCACCTCCCTTGGCACAGAGCAAACACAGATATCTGCAGCTAACTGGTGACAGGTGACTGAGAAGCAACTAGGTAGGCAGGTAGTAATTTGTGTTGATTTTTAGGGAAAGCATTCCCTAAGGGTAGTTTGCCACTGTATGGTTGTGATTTTGAGCTTTGGCACAGTTAATTTTGTATCTAAAAATGCTTGTGTAGACGAGGACAAGGAATAAAATGAGGTATAACATTGCCATGAATGCTGCATTTGATCTGGGAGAAACGTAATGGGCTTTTCTGCCTATATGGAAACAAAAGTGGAATGAGAACAACAGGAACTCCAAGGCTTGCAGGTCATGTTCACAAAGCACAGCAGAGAGAGGTTTAGGGAGAGCCTCCAAACAGAACCACAGAAATGAGAAGTTCGCAGATACTTTAGCTGTCTGAGGTCACTGGAGATGACTTCTCTGTCATTAGCTGTATACAAAGAAAGACGCGCAGACTTTGCTGTCATCTTATATGGCAAATTTCTAAATAGTTTGGATGAAAATGGCAAAAGTTTTTTTTGACCTGAATCATGATTTAGATGCTGGAAAACAAGCAATATGAAAAAAGCAAAATATTACGTCTCAAAGTTAAAAGAAGGTTCTGGCTTAAGTCTTGCAAGCCCTTTAAGAGCCTCTTAAGCCTTTGAGCAACTGAGGGCTATCAGTATAGAAGAGTGAAAGGTAAGCTTGTTTTCTTACTCCTTATATTGAAAACTCAAGTTTCGAGCCTTCCTTTTGATACCTCTTAAATTCAGTTGAAAAGGAGATAGTTGATTCAGTTGAGAAATCTGCATAAATTATGTAAAACTTCATTGTTTCTTCAGATCCAGTTGGTGCTTGATTGCTACCCTGGTGTTCAAGATTAATTGTATGTGTTAAGATTTTGTTTAATTTTAATTTCCTAGGTATGAACATGCAATCACCATCTTTTGGGCTGCTTTTATATTTTGTCAGTGATTTAAGTTTCTAATCATTTTGCCACTGATACTGAATTGGCTTGTTTGAAAAGCAGCTTTCTCTTCATTTATATGTTGCAGGGATGTTCTGAGAATGAGGAATGAGGCCACTTAAAACCAGGCGTAGTTTTAAGGCATGTTTTGAAGGACATGAAATAAGAGTGAAATGGGTGCGTTTAGCTGAGCGTACAAATGTTTCATTTTCCCATGCAAAAAAAGTGGTCATGCTTTGGGAGTGCTGAAGAGTGGGGTTTTGCTCTGTCTCTCTGCAGGTGAGAAGTAAATATGAGCTTGGAAACACATGACCACCAGTGCCAGGACCCTGTGATCTGAACTGTCTTCAGCTGACTTCCCAGCGGCTAGGTGCTGTTGATCCTGTACCATGGAGGACTGCCTTCACACCTCCTCTGAAAATCTCTCCAAGCTGGTGAGCTGGGCCCACAGCCATGGGACCATCTGCAGCCTCATCCCCAACCTCAAGCACCTGCTTTCCGAGGGGGCCCATGGCAACCTGACAGCCATGTGGGGCTGTAGTGCTGGCCATGCCTACCACTGGCCCCTGGCCGCCACTTGCCGGGCTGGTTCGCAGGAGCGTGTCTGCTTCCAGGACAGCCGCAGCTTCAACTCAGACAGCCCCAGCATGCTGGGGGTGCCATCAGAGGCTCAGGCCAGCCCCCTGGAGCGCTACCCAGGCCGGCCAGGGAAGGCCAAGCTGGATTGCACCCGCACTCGTGACTCCTGTGACTTCTCCTACTGCAGTGAGCCGTCAGAGCTGGGTGAGCCTGTGGAGGAGTATGAGGATGAGGCCACCCTCTTCGACATGGTCTGTGAGTCCTCTGTCACCGATGAGGACAGTGACTTTGAGCCACACTCGCACCGTGCTCCCACTGGCCTCCGCAAGCGGCCGGCTGCCGCGGCCCAGGCCCAGGCGCAGCCCGCTGACGAGGGCGGTGGTGACGTGCTCCTCAAGAAGATCAAGCAGGAGCTCCCTGAGGACTACTATATAGTGGCCAATGCAGAGCTGACGGCCGGCACCGACGGGCCGGCCCTGGCTCTGACACAGATGTCCAAGCCCAAGCTGCAGCCCCCGGCTGGGCCCTCCTGCCTGGGACCCACCAGAACTGTGCCCCAGCCGGTCGCAGGCCCTGACCTCGAGCCGCAGCGCCCCTGCGCCTCCCCGCCTGGCCCACCCCGCGTGGCCACACAGCGGCCACCCCGGGGACCCCTCGCCTCCCCAGCACGGGGGGCAGGCAGTGGCCCTGTGGCTGCCCTGCAGGTGCCAGCCACCAGCTCCAATGCCATCACCACCGCTGGGAAACCCATCAGCATCCCCCTCTCAGCCCTGCAGCTGCCTGGTCAGGAGGAGCCACCGGCGGCTGCTGAGGAGACCCTCCCATCCATCCCACAGCTGGCCCCAGGTGGTGAGGTGGCCAGCTCGCCCTCGGTGGGCACCGAGCCTGAGGTCAGCTCCAGCCAGCAGCAGCCCCACGCAGCGCCCACCATCACCCCTGAGGCAGCAGCGCAGCTGATGCCAGGTAGGACACTGGGCAGGAGTAGAGGGATGGTGGCATTTTGGGGGTGGCCCCCAGGCATGGCTTAGTGAGGGTACTGCAGGGGTGTATGTGCTGCATTGCGTTGGGTCCTGCTGGCATATAAGTCAGTAGGTATGGAAGCCACATACGCCTGGGAGAGGATTCAGAAAATGTCAACTAAGCACCAGCACATGAGAAAGTGTACTGCAGCCACAGGCAAAATGGTTTTCAAGGTTTATTTTGGGTACAGTTGTGTCATGGGAGAGAGCATGCAGTGACCTTGCTGTGTGCGTGGGTCAGGAAGGACATGAACAGAGCAATGCACTCTTGATGAATCAAAAATAAGTGGTCTCAGCCAGTGCAGCCTAGAGTTGGAGAGCTTGGTGTTTCCTTCACCTTGTCAGATGGGTACTGTTGGACCTGGAAAGGCAGAGTACCAGGAGAGAGGTTTTTGCTGCTATAAATTGTTACCTCTAAATCAGAGCAGTTGCAGACACAAGAAGTATTCTTAACCTTAACCACAACCTTAACCATGACACTGATAAAGCATTAATCCATTAAAAAATGGGTTTTTTTTCCATTTTCCCAGTGAAAGTTCTCATACACTGGGTCCACAATTTTTCTCATCTCTTGCCAAAGCACATAGAACTGGCACAAACAGATCAACATTATTGGATAAAGAGCATGTTAAAACAGCTGACTTCTGCTGAGTGCTTATCCCATGCAGAGAATAACTGTTAGCCACAGGTCTTCGGAAGGAGGTGGAAATCTGTTTCTTGAGCAACTTGTCACCTTCCTCTGGATCTGAGCACAGACAGTTTTCACTCTTCCAGCTTCTTCTTTAGTGGTGCCATCCCAGGAGGAGACGAGGCAAGAGCAAGTTCTCCATCTGCTCCCTTGCTGGTTCAGCCTTGGACTGCCTGGTCATGCAGTACAGACAAACAGTGAAAGGGCTAAAAACTGCCTATATGCAGCCCTTGTGGCAGGTACTGCAAGAGCTAAAACCCATGACTTTAGCTTGAACATCCTGAAAGCTGATTGAAGACTAGTAAATCTATCAACTAGCAAGAGCCTGCAGATCTTCTTGCCAGGTTAAATACACAGTTTTATGAAGTAAAACCCTACTAAACATAAGAAATTTGGAAGAATGATAATTGTCTTAGTTACAGCAAAGCAAATTCTTCTTTGGGACCCATTTCTTGCATGACTGCATCTCTGAGATGTTATTTTGCAGTAGTCCTGTCATGTAAATGGAAATGTCCTGTCATGTAAATCCCTCACGGAAATTCCTTTGCAAAACTCCATCTGGTTTAGAACCAACTCTGCACTGCTAAATATGAAAAAGGTAGGATGCCTGATGCCACTCAACCCAAATTGTGTGTTAAATTTACTTATTCTGCCTTCCTCAGTTTATAACCTATCACTGCTATATGTAGATGTGGTTTCTACCTGCCTGCCTCTGCAACTTGCTCAGTCTCAAATTTGCAATTTGGGACCATGGAAGACAAACCTAAGCAGGATTTTTCCGTGTTAGGTGTGTGTTATCTGGGAGAGATATTTCAACAGATCCATTAAAAAATCCAAGCTCCTTTCAACTGTTTTTGCCAGGTCCTCAGAAGCCAAACAAGGTCAGCAATTGTTAGTGTTTAGGGTTAAACCTTACAAGAATGGATGCAGTGCAATGTTTTTGCATTTATATAGTTTCAAAAACAGGATTGATCCACATCTAGTGTCTCACTTTGAGGGCAAAATGGGATTGCACCTGGATTACACCCACTGTCTAAATCAACCCTCAAAACCTCCAAGTGCTTTGCTTTTTGCATAGACAGTGATGGGTTCTCAGAGTACTGTCCAAATTCCAGTTTATTCAGTTATGTTCTCAATGGTTAAATTATTTTTGCTCTTCCAAAAAAGCATTACACAATTCCTCTCCTTAGACTGGTACAGTGTTGGTGTCACCCTGCTGTTATTTTACTCAGAGGTAGTGGCATTTTAATGAAGATAAAGTGATTGACATATGACTAAAACTTGATACCTAAGTAAAGTCCCACATTTCCATAGAGCCTTCTCCTTTGGGAAAGATGTGCTGGCATCATTAAATGTTCAAGTTTCAAAACGGTGGGCAATGATGGAAATTGAATTTATTACAGATGCACAGCAGATTCTTGCAGATAAAATGTAGATGTTTGATTAAAAACTAGATTATGGTGGTTGCTTATGTACAGTGATTTTGTTAGATTGTCTCCTAACAAAGAGTGATATATTGAAAGTGGTGCATGATATATAAAGTTTGAGCAATATTGAATTACAAGAGGATGTTTATCTATCCTGTGTAAAAATTTTCTGTCTTAAACAGACAGATGTGAGTCTTTTAGATTCTGATGGTAAAAAAAAAAAGCCAGGAACTAATTATGTCAAAAAGTCTACAGCTTTTATTCATTTATAGACTCAGTGCCTGCTTGACTAAACAAAGTTGAAAGAGAGCAGGGAATTTAAATTCTGCCTTGTCCTCTCCAATATCTGAAGCCTTGCTCCTGGTCCCGTTAGAACTGGTGGTGTAAGGTCTAAGGTCTACAGAACTGAGGCCTAATTTAAGTTATGATTAAAGGCTGCAATCCAAGCAGCAAGAAATACTGCTTGAGCTTTAGCTGAAGTGACATATCCTTGCATTTATACCAGACACAGCTGATAGTAATCCCATAGATCGTGAAAGTCTGAGTGACATTATCCATAAAATCAAAAATCTGGATGATATATGTTAGCTTAGGCCAGTTTAAGCCACATTATGCCTTTGGACTAGTCTCTCTTTCAATATGTTTGTTTTTTTTTTAACTCATTTACTCTCTTTGATTAGACTGTGGCAACTGAATGTATAAGCAGGGACCTTACAAAGATATTTCCATGTCTCAAAAGAGAAGTGGCATCCCAATGAAGACTCGGTTAGGTTAGACACTGTTTTTTTTGTTTAGGTGTCCATATAACCACTATGGAATATACTGAATTGTTTTTTGTTAAATTTCAGCACTAATAAGTGGACATTCATCTGGGAGTTTTCAGATTTTATTTTGCCTTTCTAATAGCAAAGCCTTCAGGAATGCATGTAGGTATCACTTATTCCTTTCTTTAATTCTGGAAAAACTGAGAGGACCTGTGTGTGTTAGGAGAGGAATTTTTGCAGTAGTGGTGAACAGAGAATTTCTTCAATTTCTTCTTCTCAAACCACCTCTTCTGTCTTATGTTTTTCCTAATAGTTGGGCTGGTTTTAAAGTCCAAGAACCAGCAAGGGCAAGGTAGATCACATCAGTGGAGATGGAAGATAAGTAAGAAACATGATGCTTTATGTTGTAGTACATGCAGCCTAGAGCAATTAGTGACATTTGGATGTCTGAAAAGAGGAATGAAAATGAGTTGGTGTTATTGCAGAAGGCTGTGGAGGGAGACTGTGGCTCAGAGAAGGAAAGAGCTTATTTTGAATGAACACAAGTTTGATTCTGAGAGATGTAGGATTTATTTTGTAAACAGAATTGCTGGAGAATTTGTGAAGAATACTGAATTTCCACTTGAAGACTGAGGCTGAAGATGTGTTTTGTATTAACATACAGTGCAGCAAGACATTTCTGATTCAACACTAGTGCATCACTGTAAATACAGGATCAAAGAGTCCCATGATAAAAAAAAAAGATATCCAACCCCTACGTAAAAACTGTGCTGAATGCAGAGTAGTAAGCAGAGATGCAAAATAAAAAATCATCTAAATGTATTCACTGGGGTTTTTGCTTCTGTCAGAGATGTAGCAGATTACATTCTATGTGTACTGTCACAATGCCTTCATGTACATCCATCACTGAACTGCCTGACTGCTTGTTTTATGTGCATTTTCAGAATTTGGAAGGGAAAGAGTGTCCTCAAGCACCTCTCCTGTCATAGTCAGAGTGCTGCTCGCTGTCCTGGCATTGTGGTTATCAAAAGTACTGGTGTTTGAATGTGCGCTGTGATGGATGATGGTCTGTGCTGAGGGCAGTGCTTAGACTTCCTGGCTCTGATGTCTCTGCTCTGAGATCCTCTCAATTCTTTCATTTTCTGTAACTGGTGTGTCAGTCCAGATCAGTGCTGCTGAGTTGGCTTAGCCTGGTAACTTGGGCAAAGATGTAGTTCTGTTCCTGTGCTCCCATCGTGGGAAGGTGTAAGCAGAACACCTTCAAAATTTCACAGCTGGGAACTAACGTGGGTTGACTCTTGTTCTGCTCTCAATGTGGACATCCCTGTAGGTTACAGGTGTTCATATGTCTCTGTCTGAATGTGACCATTATAAAATGGAGTGCATCTGGGGCTTGATGTAGAGCTCTGAGTAGAACATTTTAAGTGTTTCTCTGTAATCAGAAGAAGTAGGACCTCTCCCTTTCCCCCCTTCCTTCTGTCTGCAATGTCTGCAATGGTGTGAGTTTAAATTAAATGGGAACCAAGATCCTCATATAAGATTTGTGGATTAAGAGCTGTTGGATGAGCATCAAAACATTACAAAACTTCTCGGTGAAAGGAGTCTCTTCACACCTTATGAACTGACAGTTTTGACTAGATTCAGCTCTAACTTCTAAATTACTCTTTATCCATAAAAAAACTGTCAGCCTCGCACATTCCAAAGAAGTGCAAACAAGAAAAAATAACGCCTTTTTTAGGGGTGTATATAAAGCATACAGAAAGGCAGAATTAATCCTTGTTGCAATTATTTCCAGTGGAACCATGCCAAGTAGCACAAGAAAAATAATCGCATCAAAATAAATTTACAAAACTCTTATTTAAATAACGTTCTTCCAAGAACATTCAAATAACTGCTGATCTCTGTATTTGTTGTTTACATACCAAGATTGATGAGTTTTGGCTAAAGTGACTGCTTGAAGCCTATCTGCAGGGACATATACTGCTGAATGTAGTCAAGTGAACACTTAAATATATGTAAGGGTGAGACAGTCTCTTCTCTTTGTGTTGTACTGAAGAGTTCGGAGTCCACTGGTGACTCTTTAGGTCCCATAATTGATATCTATTGCTGCTCTAGTAGATGGACTAAAAACAGTAAGCGCTGAGATACATAATTACAAAAACTATAACTTTTTTTTTAAGTTGCTAGGGCCTTGCTTATTTAGAAGACTAAAATTACATCATTATAGTTTTAAATTTCAGAAAAAGGAAGCTATTGACATGATTAATCACTTGATCTTGCAGCAGTGATTTGCAAGCCCGATCCTGCCTTCAATTTTCTTCATCCAAATGCTGTTAAATTATAATCTAATGTTTTGGGGGCTGTATTCTAAAAGTCTAGCTAGACATCTTTATTCTAGAAGTCTAGGTAATGATTACTTACCTTTATAATATTACAAGGCATTTCTGTTTAAAAGCAGGACAGTACCATAAAGAGGACAAGTTTAGCCTTGGCCGAGTAGTTGTGTAATTGCTTTTATCATCTGGGTGCACAGCATGACAAACTTACTTATAAAGAAGAAGTGAACCCATAGTTCTTACAACTCTAATACAAGACTTGTTTATGCAGCTGTTCCTACAGCTGTTCTGTTTGCAGGAGAACACAGAAATGAAAACTCATCAATTATTACAATATCTTTAGATTTTCACTATGCTTAAGAAAGATATCAATTACCTTTCAGGATTTCACATGTATTTTCTTCAGTGAAAATTCTTTCCAGACAAGAAAGCTCATGTCAGCCTTCATGTATAATCAGCAATGGACTTTGTCACATAGAGGTTGTCATAAATACTAAGTCTTTATCACAAAGCTATGCATGCAAAAGATTAGGATGCTGCATTCCTTGATGTCAGGGCTTGTTTCCTCTTTTCAGCATGGAGCTCCTCTGAGTGGAACTACCTGCAGCACAAAGAGACAGCAGTCTCCTGGCAGCAGTCTTACTAGAGATGTAGATTCAGGTATATACACTTCTTGCACGAAACCATTCACGAGTATTCATAGTGAAAGTAGATTGGTATGTGAGATGTTTGGGGATGGGCTTTCAGTTGAATTCCTGCAATAAAAGGTGCATAGGCTTGTTGATCCTGTGTAATAGAGGAAGGTGAAAGAATTATTATTTCCAGGCAATCTGTGAAAGTTATTTTTCTGCAGCTAGGAAGGAAAGAAAAGGACTATTGCAGATGGGCCCTAGCAGTTTTTAAGGATTAATTTTGTAAAGCATGCCAAATTTAGCTGATAAACAGTTGAGAATATTCACTGGAGTTCTGCATTGAGGAATTGCATCACTGAGAATTATTGACTCTTCCTTTAAATATATATTTTTCATTCTAATTACTATAGCACAAACAGTATTAAGGAAGATGGTGTGTGATACCCAAAGGCTAAGTCCCATTTCAATGAATGGTTGTGTTCTGGAGCATCACAGTTCATTTCAGACCTAGGAATATACCCTGTCTCCCATTACTCTAACATGAGACTCAGAAAAGCAAAAAATAGAATGCACAATGAAAAGTCGAAAGGAATCATTTTTGCAAGCCAACATAATTGAGATACTATGTTCTCCCTTTCTCTGGGGTGTCTTAAATAGGCAACTGTTCTGTGTGAGGTGCTCTGTTTTATGATGCTGTTATATAAAAGAATAAAAGAACACCTCTGCTGGTCCCAGCTGTCTTGAAAATATACAGGGGAAAAAAAACCAAAACAATTGGACACATCTGTACTGAACTTTAATTTTAGGAAATAGCTTATTTAACATGGTGCTTTTGATAAGAGATCAGTTCCTTTGTGTGATCTTTGCAATTGTTTCATTTTAGAGCTATTTTCAGCTTATGATTTGTGAATCTTTAAGACAAGAGAAACAAGGGTCAGATTTGGATCTGCAGAGGAGATGCAACACGAGCCAAGAGAGATGCTGATCCTGGAAAGGCTTCAGACAGTCACTTTACTTTTGCACTTCAGATGGGATGCTGGCAGAAAAAGGGAACACAGGTCTTTATGGTTTAGATCAGGACACTTTCTGAGTGATTTTCCGCTTTGTGTGAGGCTGGCTAAACAGGGTCTAGAAAGTGATCATTCCCCTGTTTTGGTAGTGGTGAGACCACACCTCAAATCCTGTAGTCAGTTTTGGGCTCTGCAGTCCAAGAAAGATGTTGAGATGCTGGAACATGTCCAGATAAGGGCAACAAATCTGGGAAAGGATCTGGAACACAAGTCTGATGAGGAGCAGCTAAAGGAACTGGTGTTGTTTAGCTTGGGCAGCCAGGTAGGTGGTGGTCTCTTCTTCCAGGCAAGTGACAGCATGAGAGGAAATGGCCTCAGGCTGCACAAGGGGAGGTTATGGTTGAAGATTAGAGAAAATTTCGTCATCTAAGGGGCTATAAAGCATTGGAACAGGCTACCCAGGGAAGTGGTACAGTCATCATCCCTGTGAAACAGTGTAGATATGGTGCTTGAGGACATGGTTTAGTACTGAACATGGTGATTGTACTGGGGGGGGGGATGGTCTTGATATCTTAAAGGTCTTTTCCAAGACCTTTCCATAGACTCCTTAATGATTTTATGATTCAATGACTCTATACCTACAGAAGGACTACTTCACATTTGTATTCAAGATCTAAGGTTTTAATAGCAGTAGACCTTGAGGAAAGCTGTTTTCACTGTCTCAGTGATGGGAATATGCATAAGCTATTCTGTGAAGCCAGCATGCAGTGACCACTCATTTATGCCATTTTCTTCATACCTAAATCATATCACTCTTAGTAAGTCTTCTGTCATGTCATCTCATCTCTTTTTTGGTGCTTGCAGTGAACCTAGAATCTGCTTGAGCATGAAACAGATCTGAGTGTATTTTCTATCTCTCTAAGCAAGAGAAAAATTTGGAATACAGAAATCCTTGTTTGAATATTTCCAGAAAAGAAAACAGAAGCAAGATGATATTTTAGGTATTTTATCATGGCTGGCACAGCACAGAGCAGTGCTTACTAAAACATTCAGATCCTGGAAACAGTGAAACATGATGAAATCTATCTTTCTTTGATAAAGTATGCTTAAATGAAGCACATGCTCATTCCAGGAAGTGTTGAAACAGGCTATTAACTCAAAGCCTCAAGAGAGAGAAAGTGGAACGGCTGCTTTCCCTGGTGACTTGTTCTTGCTGGGGCACTCCACAGAATGGTCACAGGAAAGCTGCTTTCAGCACTGGTTGTTTTGAACAGCTTAAATGTGGCTGGTGGTCTCTGTGGAGCGGTGTGGCAAAACTGTGTTTTCATTTCCCAAATAAGTCTACTTTTGTCTGGAGCCCAGCAATGCTGTCCTTTAAAAATGAAAAGATGCTGCTGATCACACAAATGTTGTGCTAGACACAGCAATTCCCAGGTCATGGTTCCCAATGAATCATGCCCATTGTGGCAGTGGGGGTAGGCCTTTCTGTATACATGTCTTTTTAAAAGTGCTGTTGAGGACCCTGCTGAGTCTGATTAAAACTTTGTGTTATTAAAATTTTGCTTAATTATACTTGATCATTAAGTGCATTGGCTGCATCTTACTTCTAATATATACCCATTAATCCCTTTAACTCTGAATGAACGGTAAATGCACATACACACAGAGAAAGTCTGCATGTGTTCCTGTTGATTAAACTGAGGGTGACTATCACAATGGCACTGTGCTCTGTTGTAGCTTTTCATTAACTTCATAGGTCTTCATGATAAAAACATCACTTGAAATCATACAATGATAGATTAATAATATTTAATCAATTGCTTTCTGCTTTGCACTTGGGAAGGAAAAAATGAAAGAACAAAGCTGATTTTCTGTTTTGTTCAGAGAAGGAAAAAATGTATTCTGAGCTATTCTACCCCAGGCCACATCACCTCAGTTCAACAGCTGAATAATTAGTGCTATATTATTTCAATCAGGAGACCTGTACCCAAAGATCAAGCCTGTGAAAAATAAGGATGTTCATCTCTGAACCTTGAACAGCTTGTTTTGATTTTATGTTTACACTCATTTCTCTTTTCACTGGGTATGTGCCAATCTCTGCTTTCTGACTGGTCAAGCATAGCAGTATAAATGAGCCAGAGAAGCATTGATGGTTTTGTATGGGAGCAATTTCATTCTGTCCACACCTTGGAGCACTCTCCTGGTTGTTACAGGCTCTGTCCTTCAGTTGACGTGCCAGATTATGGAGTTTCTTTCTGTCCTTTGCTCTTGGCAGATGGAGTGTTGCCATTTGTTTGGGACTTAATTTCTCTTATGACTATAAATACAAGGAAACAAAATAACAGACAGGAACACTATTCCTAGCATTACAAAACAGTATTCATGCCTATATGTTGACAGGCATTTTGGTTTTTTGCTAACATTTTATTTTTCCTCTCTGTATATAAAGAATTGGCTTTATGCCTCTGTTTCTCTCCCCTCCAGAAAGCTTACAGCTTGACAATAAGTTGTCCCATTACCATTCACTTACAGAATTGTTAAATACATCAGACTGTTTATTGTGCTGGTGTATATTAAAATAGCCAGTATAACACGTCCATAATTATATCCATTAAACTATGCCCCATGTCACCTCTTATATTAATTGGTTCATGTCAGTTTTAGCATGAACTCATTCAGTAGGAGGGGACCTGATTGTTCATATAGAAGAACAAATTATTTTTATGGAAATAACAATCCTGACAGGTAAATTTTGACAGTGTAAATACAGAAGAGAAATAATAACAATATTCTGAGCAGCAGAGAGGTATGTGATTTGTGTATGCTCTCCTGAGTGTGTACATAGCTAGAAAACATCTGAAACTCCTCATTTTACTTAAGAAGACTTTACTCAAGTAAAGCTGCAAAATGCGACTAAATATTTACTCAGTCAAACTATGATAAATGAGGTTTAAACACGTATTCAAGGACAGAAGGAAATTAATTGTGCCATGAACAACAGTCCGGCTATTGATTAATGTGCTTCTCTTGCAGGTTTGTCTCCTCACTGTGCAAAATTTCTGGCTGCTCCTGCACCTCCTGGGAGCTTTTGTCTTGGCAAATGCCTGGGCATGCCATCGCTAATCTGGAATAAAGTGGTCTTTGGTCAGCCAGTGTGTGTGAGCAGCTGCCTGTCACAGTATCTACTGCTTGATGGCTGTTGTCCTTCCGAAAGCTGGGATGTATTCATGCCTCTGCCCTCTGCCCAGCTTTGAGTCTTCCCCAGTCTTGTAGGACCTTTGCATTTTAAACTTCCATCCTTTTAATGTGATGAGAGTTGTGTTTGTAAAGGTTAAAATAAAGCCCAGTTGTCATTTTTCTAGAGTGTGAGGAGGAGAGAATTCAGCGCAAAACAGAAAAGCAGGCTAAAAATCTACCTTATAAGCTGTTTCACTTGAAGTGTTAGACTTCATTCTCTCTGGAGAGCTGCATGAAGAGCTACTCCTCAAATTCTGCTTTCTGAGCCAATGAAGACAAAAGAAATATGTGTATACAAAGTGTGCACAGATATTCCCAATGCAGGTTTGTAAATTGTGAGCTCTTCATAGAATTTATGCCTGTTGTAGATTGCTTTATTCCTGCTGGACAAGATACAGTGAAAGGTAAAAACAAATTGGTCTGACTGGGCAGAATCACCAGCAGAGAATTTCAGAAATGGTACATCAAGATCTCTAACAAGGCAGTTGGAGTACTTTACTAAATTAAAGATGGTAGGAGAAAAAATATTGAAATGCAGTTCTTTGGGGCACATGTGCTGCAATCTGTATTACCTGAAGTAAATGCCATAACCTGCCAACACATTTTCTCTTCCTCTGGCTGAACTAGTAGATAGTTCAGACAGAACAGAAAGGAGTACTTTTTTATTCACTACCAATGGCACTTTAATAAAATAGAGGAAAAATGTCTGCAGTCTTTAATAAGCAATATATCAACCAAGTACTGTCAGCCTGTGTAGAGTTTCACAGTATGATTTATTATGTTAATTACAGTCATGTGGGCCTCATGCTCTTAAGTCTGAAACTGCTCACATTCTCAGCTTGATTTAAGAATATGCTTTGGCCAAGACTTAAAGTGCAGCTTATTATGATTAATGTAATAAAATATTTATTACATTCTCCTTTTCTTTGTTTCTCTGCTTGCTGCCCCAGTTAGACTGACTCATTTTGAAACACTGATATAAATTAGATTTCAGATGATGAAGATTCTCATCTGGTTTTAATCTCTCTCTTTGGTGTTATGTTTTTTTCATATCCTTTGTTCTTACTCTCTCTTCTCGCCCCCTCATCTTTATTTCTCTCCCATATTTCCCAGTTCTGCTTCTTAGCTGCTGTCTAGAGTGAACCAAAAGCAGGCAAACTTTATAGCCCTGGCTCATTCCTTCCAGACGTCTTGCATTGCTTTCTCCGCTATGCTTATTGAAGGTTTTTCTTAAATGTGATGACATTAAAACTGGTGTTACACTGTAGCTGAGAACATGCTAAGCCTCTGGTGAAATGATGTGGCATGTTCTGCATAATTCTTCTTAGAGAAGACTGAACTGAAAGGGCCCTGTTTCTCATTCTTCTTCCACAGGGCTCTCAGCTGCAGAGAGGCGCAAAATTCCAGTGTGCCAAATATTCCAAAGTGCTATATAAATTTATACCTGTGATTTTGTGCAAACCAGCCCAGTAGTTAAATTTCTGGCTAAAAAATCATTGCTTCTAAGATCTGCTTACACATCTACAAATCTGGATTTGTAGGAGCATGTAGGAGCATGACAGAAAGATGGAAAACTTTACAAAAATGTTGTTTCTTGGTTTTGTTATGCCAGAAATGGATCTTTTGCCATGAGAATGGTATAATTTTCAAACTATAAACTTGATTCAATAAAGGAAGTGTGTCTCAGGTCTTTATGGTTTTACTCTCCTCATTTTTGTTTTTTTCTTCATGTTTTCTTTCCTCTTTTCAGCTTTTGAATCAAGCTACTGTATACATATAAATATGATTCAGTTCCACCTTCTATACAGATAATGACTTAGTCCAGCTGATTTCTACATATGCAGATACTTAAGTATAGGGACAACAATCCAGAACACAGTTAAAATATGCTTTGTGGAATTGGAAACTTACTTGGGAGAAAAACTGATACTCTGCTGAGTATATGTATGCAACACTTTCCAGAGTCATGCTGAGCCAGGTCCTCTTTGAAGAGGAGTGCATCCCTTCTGCTGTGCATCACCCAGCTTCCAGTTCTCAGGGTAGTGTAGAGCATTACCATCATTTCTTTACTTGCTTCTGCCACAAAGCATTAAGTGGCCAACATACTTTGAAGGGGCAACTTTTCTTTATGTTGCTACAAAGTCCTGTGTTAAAACAAACAAACAACAACAACAACAAACCAAAACAAAAAAAACAAACAAACAAACAAAAAACACACACACACACAAAAAGAAAAACCACCTGTTTAATTTAATCTGAAGAAAATAATTGTCAAAAAGTGTCTCTTTTCTTTATCTTTAAACTGAAACCAGTACCTGGAGTTTTCTAATGGTGTTAGCCATTAACTATTTGGAAATTATTAGACTATTATATGGCTGAATACAAAGATGCATGCTCAACATACAGCTGACAGTAGCTTCACATTATAGGTAAAGTTTTCCCACTTACCAATTCCAGCAGCATTCCAATTTCACCAAACTACCTGGTTTGTTAAACCAGAGCTCTGAAAGAGCAGAAATTATATCTTAGACAGAATCTTATCTGAATATTGTTGAAGGAAGTTTAGTCAGTTATTTTGAAAGGAATGGAGTTTCACATTTTCAAAAAAGTTTTCTAATGGTTTTGGGTTTGTTGTATTGAAGATTCTAAGTGTGGCTTTTATATCTTCCACCTCTATGAAGAGCTGTGTGCCTAAATGTCAATATAAAGGTCCAAATACTTTATTTTTATATTCCTTCTGTAAAGGTAGTAGGTATGGAAAAACTAGTGGGATGAGACATGGCAGGTAGACCTGGAGATGGTTGCAGGGTAAGTTACAGGCCTGGTGAGTGGCTTGGAATGGGCCAAATAAAATAGCAGATTCCACTCCAGCTGCCAGCTGAGTATATTTTGCCTGTACATCACCTAAGTGCCAGATATATGGGTTTCTCAAAATATTTTCTGTTTCTGCTGTTCTCCATGTTGTGTCCAAGCTGTAGCATCCTGCTTCGCAGTGTTGCATTGTTGGGCAAGCCTGGGAAAGCTGGAGTTGGTATACGTCTTCCTGTCAAATGAAGGTTGAATCTGGGTAAATATCCCACTGTACAGAGGAAATACATCCCATTTTGCATTGCAGCAGTTCATGCCAGTGCATCTCAGAACAGCTTCAGAAGGAGATAGGGAACTCTGTGGCCTCGTACCACAGAAATACCACTGAAATTTTTCAGTGGAAAAAGGGAAATGCAAGGTAAAACTAGAATGCAGCACTTCTCTTTTCCACTACCATGATGAAACCAAAACCAGACAACTAAATGAAGTGAACCAGCAGGAACAATTTTTATTTAGAAAACACATTTTTAGAACCTTTTTGCTGGAATGACTCAGATGTCACATGCATCAGGTGGAGAAGGAAGATAGCTTTGTAAAAATTGGAGTTCCCAGGGTGCTGCTGTTTTTCACTTTTCATTAGCATTTGCTCTATCCACTGCAAAAACCCCAGACTGGTGAGACGGTCAGTCATAGGAGAACATAACTTCTTAATCCCTTGTCATAGCTACAGGTTTTCTGACATCTAAGAATTGTGCAGAAGTCCCATTAATATTGATATGTATTTTGTTGTTGGCTTTGCCAGCAGTCAAACTATGTCTCAAATCTTTTGAAGCTGTTGTGAAAAAGTAGTGAAAGAGCACAAACTGGAAATCAGCTCTAGTGTCTGAGTAAGCATTCATTATCAGGCCATTCTATAACTTGCAAAAAATGTACAGGTGACTAAAGTTTATTTTTGTGACTTTACTTCATGGAGATACCAATGAATAAATATTCCCATACTAATTTGTTTGCAGTCTATGTCCTTTTTCCTTTGATATAATCTAAAGCTTTATAATTTTAGAATCATAAAACATTTTGCAGATAATTTCATTGGAGCAGGTTAACTGAATAGAAGTATATATTTTTTTTGCCAAAAACATAGTGTCTTTCATAAGTGGATATAAATTAATTCTCCAATACTACAGATTTTACATGCTAATGAAAGCCTTTTCTGAAAATGTTAAAATAGAGCTTAACATTTTAAATGTTAAAGTAGAGTTTAGCTTAATATAGTGGGAACAGGAAACTTTATCTGTTAAACAGAATTTTTAACTGTTAAAAGTTGTTTGATGGCAGGGCAGAAATTCAAGAAGAAATTCAAGAAGCAATTTCTTCTACTTAATCTCAGGATGTTTCTGCAAATGTTTAGAGGCACTTCTCTTGTGGACACGTTCTGCTCTTACCTTCACCCTCATTTTTGGC